GAGACCTCAGGTTTGTTGGGTTCATTGACTCCCAAGTTGCCTTGTGCGCCTTGGTCCGTGGAAGGAGTTCATCGGATGCATTGAGATGTTTGCTGAAGAGGGCTAGCACCATATCCACTGCTTATGGCCTCTACCAGGCCGGCAGATATGCTCCCACCCGGATGAATCCAGCTGATCACCCTACACGGGACACCGAGATTCCTGAGCGAACATCTCCTGGGTTTGGAGCGCTCAGTAGCAGGGAGCTCAGATGGCTCTCGTCTCTGTCAGGTCTTCGGAGGTGGACAGCAAACTGGATTAGAGTGAGCCTTCTCCTTTGTCCCTCTTGGATTAGCTTCTTCTCTAGCCATCAATGCTTTCGCCAGTATGGGCCGGCGTATGATCTCGATCCTCTCTCTTTCATGGACTTCAACCCCTCTCTTGGTTTTCCGGGGGAAGGGCCGCATCTCCGCCAGTTGATTGGACTGCTCTCCTTGCTGACCTTTTGTAGGCTAGGCGGGTGCGTGGGCGCGAGCCATGGAGACGCCTTGAGGCGAAAGCAGCGAGAAGGTTTGGAGCTGCCAGAGGGGAGGCGTGTGACTCAGCTGACCTCCTCCGTGCGAAGTCAGTTGGAGGCGGCGCTGAATGGTTGGCTACGACAAGAAGGACTGTCTTTTGAGGGTGTGTTTCTTGAAAACCCCCCGGATCTGGACAAGGTCAACAACGTGCTATCAAAGTATGGTAGATTCCTTTTTGCTGAGGGAAAACCATACTACCACCTGGCGGAAACCATCAATTTGGTCAGCGCAAAAAGGCCGATCCTCAGGAGGTCCCTCCAACAGGCTTGGGACCTCTGTGCTATGTGGACCTCCTTTGAACCAGTTGAACATCACCGGGCCATGCCCGTACAGCTGCTGCTGGCAGTACTTGCCAGCTGTTTGGTTTGGGGCTGGAAGCGCGAGGCAGCCCTTTTCGCGCTGTGCTGGGGTATGCTCCTGAGGCCAGGAGAGCTGATGGCTGCCAGGAGAAGAGATGTGATTTTTCCTCAGGATGTGAGGTTCTCCATTGACCACATCCTTTTGAGGATTTTGGAACCTAAGACCAGGTTCAGGGCGGCACGCCACCAAAACAGCAAGCTAGAGGCTCCAGATCTGATGAGAGTGGCATGGATTGGACTTGGAGACCTCCGACCAGAGGAGCCCCTCTGGCCTGGTTCATCCTCTACTCTGAGGCACAGGCTTGACAAGATTTTGCTTACGCTGGGCCTGCCGATCAAAGAGATGAACGGCCAGAAACCGATGACGCTGGCTTCCTTTCGACCAGGTGGGCCAACCTATATGATCAGCCTCACCGAATCTGCAGAAATGGTGCAAAGGAGAGGCCGTTGGCTGTCACTCAAAGTGATGAATATTTATCTGCAAGAAGTGGCGGCTAGCACTTTCATGACAGATTTGCCCCCTGCAGCTCGAGAAGCCATCCTGGTCGCAATGGAAAGTTTCAATGAAGTGCTTGAAACCAGCTCTCGGTATGCTGAAGCCAAGATTCCCGAAAAGGCTTGGTATGTTCTTTTTCAACATGGAACGGAGGGCGTCGCAACGACCGGGTCAAGCGGGGTGAAGTGGGCCTTCAAGACCTCAAAATGAGGCATCCCTCGACACACCAACCAATACTGCTGGCTGAAAATGTGCCCGAGTGCCCCT